GTCTGCCTTCAACGAGCAACTTATTGTCTCTCAGCTGTAGCTAGCAATTTAGACTGTGCAGTAAGACCGCCAGCCTAAGGTCTTTGACGTGCACCAGGCAGTAGTGATACATGACCGCACTCCGGTACGATGCTCGTTCATATCGAAACGGGCAGGGGTGGGGATCGAATCCAGGATCCTGCGTCTTCTGCAGTGCAAGCTTTCGCTTCAAGTGCTCCAAGCTAGTGTGCGCTAGACAACTCGGCCACCGATCCTGTTTTCGATGAGTGAAATGGAGAAAAAGGCAGCTAATCTTTAGTTCTACCCACTAATCGTACCAACCAGAACTCGGCGTTCTTACGTCACCACGCGCTCTGGTCTCCTCCTCTCGCTCAGTTTTTCGGCGCATAGCTTCCTTGCCTTCCCTTTATGGGGGGGCGAGGTCGAAGCTACAACCAGGAGTGAAGCAGGAGCATGTTGGACTGAAGGATGCATTCACTGAACGAGCGCTCGTGCTTGGCGAAGTTCTGGAGCTTCCACTTTTAGCTTCTGCTACGTTTGCTGCAGTCACTACCCTTCCTCTTTTTTCCCCCGAAGTTTTGTTAACGGCAGTGCAGACAAAAAAATATGGGCGCGAGGTCAATGCCCAAACAAGACGTTTTGCTGAGTCTAATGACGCACACTTGAAGTAGCTTTAAAAGCAACAATATCTTTTTTCTTTTTTTTCGGGCTCGAAAAGGGTACATGGAGTAACAACAACATAAAACAATTGCCTTTTTAAATCTTTTTTTCTTTTGTGTACGCACAAATGAACTGCCCGATGCCTAATGGGAAGTTGGAAATAAGCGGAATATGCGCCCCTATCACTGCCTATAACGCCCGGTGAGAACATCACCGGGAATAAATGGGCGACGGAACAAAGAGGTCCGCTTTTGTCTCCCCCTAGTTCGTGCATGTGTAGCCAAAGCATTGGTTGGGTTAGATGCATGTTCATATTATGCACTCCTTATTTATTTACGTGGCAGTGAGTATGCGTAATTGAAGAGACCGCAGTATTCTTCCTTTTTGTTGTTTTGTTCAACAACAAAAGTTTACAGAATCCCTACCGAGGAGCTTCCTCTGCGAGCATGACATTAAACAGAGTCACTACCGCCTACGTTTTACCGAATGACGCGAAAATTTTCTACTACAAAGCTTGCATGGAACTAAGGAATTTTGAAGAGTTGTAAGTAAGAAATTTGAAAAACGTGTGGTATTTTGACTCCCGCACAGTGGTATAACGAGAGCCAGTCATAATTACAAATGAAATAAAATAAAATATCTACTTGTGTTTCACTGTTTTACTGTATTTCATTTCACCTGAAGTCCGATCGCGGCGGACACTATTAGTCATCCCAGCCAATCTAGCTCTGTGAATGTACTACGTGACACGCTCTCCGCACGCCACTGCGCCCCCTCGTAATGGTCTCATAAGACTCACACGGCCTTGTATTGGCTTCGATGGGTCGTAGCATCCGGTGCTGCCACCTGTAGGGTGGAACGTTATTTAAAGCGCGTTCACACATTCAAATTTTGTTCAGAATACGTAAGGTTTATTTTGATTTAAGTCAGTTTTCTTTAAATCAAAATTATTTTAAATAAAATTTACACGTTTTAAATCGCTTTATTTACAAAATAATGTGCTTTGTTATAAACTTTTTTTTAGACATAAAAAATTCATTGTTAAGATATTTCGAACCACTGAAAACAGCATAAGAAATTTCGTAAAGTGTGAACGTAATTATGCCGTAGACTACAGTTTAATTAGAAACTTTCTCTTATTGCTGTAAACGCCGCCATACGTCTTGTTGGAACTCAAGCAGCCTGATTGTTTTACGAGGTGAAAACACTTTATTTGCTGTAATTCTTCGACAAATGTAAACAAGAGCCAAAAAGCTTCTAACTATATTTTTTTATATTGTCTATTCAAAACTCCAAACAGAAATGCTTTTCCTCGGTTTCCGGTCGATTGCACGACTGTCCGTTTAGGCAAAATATAAGCAAACTCCCGGCCGCAGCAGCAGTGCAAAGCAACCACACAAAATCTTTAAAAGTTTTATTATTTTGCCTTCGAACTCGAGCACACCCCTCTCGCCAGTTCTTTTTTTTTTTTTTAAACTTGTAACGCAGCAGTTTGGTCTCAGCACGTGGGGCGATTATGTAAGACAAAACTTGTATACCAACCGAATTAAGATCAAGCTAACGTATGCGCTTGCGCCTATAGGTTTTACTTTTGGTCTGCATACGTATTTTTAGAACGTTGGCACCGAGTGTTCTCTGCAAACGTCGTTTATATACATGAAAGTATAATACTAGGTTGTTGTTTTTCTGCTAGACTCTAATCGCGGAGTATTCACGGCTGCAGTAAAATCAACGCTGCTTATGCGGCAGCATCGCGAAGCTTCAAAGGGGGTCTTTCCGCTGCTTGGTTCCCATCGACAAAAAAGCTTGACGCACTTTTTTTTTATTAAACTCAACTAAACAATCACAGTTCAGCAACGCCACAACAAGATAAGGTAACAACAAGAATGTTAAAAAGTCCTAATGGCATGTAATATCCTTCATCGACAAGATGAAAAGCAATATCTCGTAACACATGTTTTTATCCTAAGCATGTATTGAATCCTTACCACTGTCGAAAATTTAAAAAGAAATTGCCGCAAGTGACGTTTTCCCAAAAGAAAGGAACGTAGTTTTTTTGCTTAGGAACTGTGTGTTTTATTTCTTAGACTGGAACGTAAATCCGATTCATGTCCATTTAAAACATCAGTCAACTCTGATGTCATCGCACAAATTATCAAATGTGATCACGGTGACGTGCTGATGGTTGTCCAAGCCCACTCTCGTGGCATCCAGATACTAATTTACGCGTTCAGGGTGTGAACAATGAATTGGTCGCAAAAAAAACAGTAGGGCAAAGAGTGAAATTTGCACAAATAATATTGACTCTCCGCTTCCTAAGCACATATTCAGATGTTACGTATCTTGTGGTATTTTGTGTAGTTTGGTCATAAATAAAAAAATTTAGATATAAAGAGGGCACATTTACCATAGCAACAATACTCCAAGCCTTCGTCGACATATCTAACCGAAGTGTAGTCGAGTCGTGTTTAGGTTTCCACGCTCCTAACAATTACCGGTACAACTGATATAATCATGTGCATATATTTTTAGTTACAGAAAAAAAAAAGATTACTAGTAGACTTTTAGTTTTACGGATCTGCTGGAACACGGGCACCGGCCAGGTTGTTACTGTTCGGAACGCCTTCTTTATCCGGGAGGAAAAGTTGAAATATAACAATTCTCTTTTTTTTTTAGGGGAGGGGGCGATGAACCGGGACTCCGGATGGCAGCAACGGCCCAGTGGTGGTAATTTCAAGTTGTTTGTGCACTAAAACCGCTCGAATTTAGATACAAAGGTTTACCAGCGTACCACCGCAGGTAGTTCATTGTTCTCTTAAAACGTGAACCCGAGGCCGACGTCCCTTAGCAGACTGTGCAAAGTGAATGCGAACCCTCATCCGTATTTTGCTGAAGTTCAAAACAACGGTACGTAGCTGCTTTACAATTGCTTGCCAGCCTACTTAGGGGTTTAGAATGTTTTTATATATTTAACCCCGCGAAATATACTCGAGGCGCCAGCGACTCGATGGTGACCTTGTGGCCGCCAATAGACACATTACCATGGGCAAAAAGCTTGCCCACGGCGGTGGCCTTGCACAGTGTTACCCTCGGAAACGGGAGCCTCCCAGGTAAGGAACCATAAAAACGTTACGTAAACCAACGACCTACTTAAGCCAACGACCCCACTGAGGGTGTCAATGGTGGTTGCGGATGAAGCTGCCTCGGTGCTTCGACGTTGGTGGCTGAGGCTTTTCTCGACCGGTAGCCGGGAGGCTACCGGTCAGGAGCAGGGTGGTCAAGAGAGTTCCTTATGGCGAGATTCCCCAGGAGCCAGCTGCTGCGCCGTGGCCTCCGGAGCCGGGAACAAAAACAGCTTGCGCAGTGATAAACGCGACAAACAACAACTGTGCCGTAACGACGTCAAACATCCCCAGGTATTCGGGATATCGACCACCTGCGCCAAAGCTGGGCAGATGGGGACAGACAAATAAATAACAATAAAATATACCCGTTAAAAATCAAATAACTAACATTTCTCTCGGATATATTAAGGTAAGTAATATTTATCAGCCGAAGAAATTTTTGATTACACTTTAACTGTTTCTTAGAGGTTCCTGCAGAAGAAAAAAGAAAGATTTACTCTATTGACTCCCATATAAAGTTTTAGTTCTATGAAATTAAAAAAAAAAACATTAAGTATTTTACAGATTTCCTGGAGGGATATAAAGTAGGGACAGCACGCTATCAAATTTCGTGTGTATCTAACCTAAAACTGAAATCTCCTAGGCTGAAGATAATGATCCCTGAAGGAGGGGATCAAGGGGGACGAAATACAAACATATATCTCCAAAGACAGCTAGGTGACTGGTGCGCGACCGAAAAGATCCAGCTCCCTTGCACCTTTGCATTAATTGCATTATCATCATCTCCTAGGTTCTCTGGGAAATAATTAATTAAGTCTTCACCTCATGCCCTGCCAATATGTCTTCCCTGTAGCAAATGTATCATCCCTGTAGCAAGCTTTGCGCGCAGGGTGCTTCAACGAGGTTGTCGCACGTGCAAACAAGTGCAAACAAGTGCAAACGTGCAACACGTGCCAACAAGTTAAGCAACCTTGTTGCGTCTTAGCTGCCATCCGCCGTTCGGCCAGGCGCGACGCGAGTATGACACGCTCCGGTGGTAGCCAGTATGGGACAACGCCCCCTTTATTGCTTCGAACACAGATATATAGAGAACGCCACGACTAGTGACGTCAACAGGGAAACTGTTATCGGCTTGATAACAGCGAATAGATAGGATGTAAACAATGACAATGCAACATTTCCTGTTGACGACTAGTGACGTCAACAGGGAAACTGCTATCGGCTTGATAACAGCGAATAGATAGGATGTAAACAATGACAATGCAACATTTCTTCTCCTCTTAATATTGCAAACGATCGATCGGTTTCCGTGTCCGCGTTGAGCGTCGTAAGGCTGGTTGGTCTTGACCGTCGGGGGCTGGCGCGTCTTGCTCGCTCGGTGGCCCCTGGCTGTCCGGCTGTCCTAGTGTCACTGGCGGCCCGACGTTGTCCGAACCGTTTTTAGGGCCACCCAGACTTTCAGTCGGACCTTGTCTGCCGCGGACCTGGTCCATGTGTCGACGGACTGTTCCCTCCGGAGTCTCGATGACCAGCATCCTTGACCCGAGCTTGTTCTGGACGGTCCCCGGTGACCATCTTTCACCTTGGCCGAAGTTGCGGACCCACACCGGTGCTCCAAGGTCCCAGGAGTCTCCTTGAACCTGCACATCGTCGGACAATAACGCAGGCCGGAACGGTACAGTCATGTCCAGGCGCGAACGAATGCGGTACCCGAGAAGTATTTCCCCTGGGGACTGGCCACACGCTAAAGGCGTCCGGCGATAATTTATCAGGAGCTGCGCCAGCCTTTTTCCCAAATCTCCCCCAGTTAACTTAGCGAGGCCGAACTTGATCGTCCTGACTGCCCGTTCAGCCAACCCGTTAGACTGAGGATGATAGGGCGCACAGCGGAGGTGACACACATTGTTTCTTTTCACAAAATCTTCAAAATGCTGACTAATGAACTGAGGTCCATTATCAGAAACGATTGTTCTGGGCAGACCGAACCTGCTGAACAGTTCTCGGAGTTGATTCACAGTCGCCTCTGCCGTTGTTGATCGCATGATGCAAGCTTCAATCCATTTGGAATGGGAATCGACGACTATCAGCAACATCCTTCCCTCAACTGGTCCTGCAAAATCGATGTGCACTCTCGACCATCTTTCTTTTGTTTCTGGCCAATTCACCGGCGAGCACGCAGACGGCATTGGGGCGGCTTGTACGCACTCGTTACAATTTCCGCTCAGTTGTTCCACCTCCCGGTCCAGTCCCGGCCACCAAAACAACGACCGCGCATTTCTCTTCATGGCTGATACCCCCTGGTGAGATTCGTGCAGCAGCTTGAGGATGTCCGGGCGGGCCCGTGTCGGAATCACGAGGCGCCGGCCCCAGTAAAGTAACCCGCGGCACGTAGACAGCTCGAGCTTCCGGGAAAAATAAGGCTGTACCTCTGTCTGGTTCTTCAGAAGGCTAGCAGGCCAGCCGTTCTGCACGTACTTGATGACCTGCAACAACGTATCGTCTGTTTTCATCAAGTCTTCTAGCCGCTGCGCGGACATAAATGCTTCGTCTACGCGGTGCAACGTCAGCACAAATTCCGGGAGGTCTTCTTCCACTGGTGGTCCTTGCCGTGGAAGTGGCAATCGACTCAGCGCGTCAGCGTTTCCGTTTTGTTTGCCGGGTCGAAATTCTATTTTGTACCGAAAATCGCTGAGTAGCAGAGCCCACCTTTGAATCCGTCCAGACGCCAGTAGCGGGACAGGCCGGTCTTCTCGAAGCAGACCCACAAGTGGTTGATGGTCCGTGACTAATACGAATTGGCGTCCTAGTAAATAATCACGGAACTTGATTACGCCAAAGATCAACGCAAGTGCCTCCTTTTCTAGTTGCGAATAGTTCTTTTCGGCGGAGGTCAATGTTCTTGACCGAAAAGCTATCGGTGTATCGACACCCCGGATCTTGTGCGATAGGACGGCGCCCACTCCTGTTGGGGACGCGTCACATTCCAGTCGCAGTGGCTTCTCAGGGTCAAAAAATGTCAGGACCGGTGATGTCAGCAGCGCGGCCTTGGCCTGTTTGGCGGCCTTATCTTGCCTTGGTCCCCAATTCCACCTTTGATCCTTGCCGAGCAGCTCGTATAACGGTGCTAGCAGCGTCGACATATTGGGCAAGAATCGGTGATAATACGTCAGAAGCCCGAGGAAGGAGCGAAGTTCGCTCACATTTGACGGCGTCGGTGCATCTCGGATGGCCTCCAAGTTTTTCTCGATTGGATGTAGTCCTTCCTTGTCGATCTGGTGGCCCAGGTAAGTGATGTCCGGCTTCCTAAATTGGCATTTTGATCGCCGAAGCTTGACACCCATGTCCCGGAAGCGTTGCAGCACCCTGCTCAGGTTGTCGGTTCCCGGTTGTTCCGCTACCAGGACGTCGTCCAGGTACACTTGCACGCCCTCCAGATCTGCGAGCATGCTCTCCATCTTCCTCTGAAAAATCGCCGGCGCGGAAGCAACTCCAAACGGAAGGCGATTGAAGCTGTAAAGGCCACGATGGGTGTTGATGACTGTTAATTCCTTCGACTCTTCATCCAATGCCACCTGGCTGTAAGCATCCCTAAGGTCTAAGGTGCTAAATAAAGAACCGCCCCGCAACGACGCAAACATATCAGCTATGTTAGGTAGCGGATACTGCTCTGTGTTGCACGCCATGTTCGCTGTCAACTTAAAATCGCCGCACAGGCGTATCGAGCCGTTCTTTTTCTGCACCAGTACAATCGGTGCTGCCCACTCCGAATGGCTTACAGGTGAGATAACTCCGGCCTCTACCAACCGATCCAGCTCCTCTGACACTTTGTCGCGAAGCGCGTATGGAACAGGTCGTGCCTTCATAAACTTCGGCACCGCTCCCTCCCTCAAATGAAGACGTACCGGTGGCCCCTTGATGGTTCCCAGGCCTGGCTCGAACAGGTCCTGAAACCGCAACAGCAGGTCTTCCAGCTTTCTCGTTGAGCCTGCAACCACGCTTGACACCAGAGGGTCCAGCAAGTTCAGTTTGCCGATTACGTCTCGACCACACAGGCTTGGTCCGGGGCAGTTCACAACCACGAGCGAAGCCGGCACCGTGACGTCATGGACGGTCGCCCTCATGTGTAGCTCCCCGAGGATGGGCAGCTGTCCCAAGTAGCATCGGAGACTCAGCTTGGTTGCCGACAGCGCCGGCCAATGGTCCTTGTGCTCATTGTACACTTCACGGGGAATAACACAAACAGGAGAGCCCGTGTCGACTTCCATGGTCAGTCGTACTCCCCCCCAGGAGATCTGCCTTCGGACCGGCGGTTCAAAACGTGCCCGTGTTCGAGGTTGTACCGTGTACACTGATGCCAAGTCCAGGTCCTCTCCCTCTGACGCCGTCGCAGCTGCAATCGTCGAGATTGGTCGTCCTGGAGTTGCAACGTCATTATGCGCCCCACATTTCTTCGCGAAATGGCCTTGTCTGCCGCATCGGAAACATCTGGCGAATCTGTGCCGACACGCGTCCCGTGCATGTGAACTGCTTCCGCATCGCTCGCATTCTTCTTTCCTTGTATTGTACCTCCTTCCCAGGTCTGGCTGTTTTCGGGACTTTCCGGCTATTCTGTGTAGCTCCGCTTCATTTTTCACCTCCTGGCTTTCCATGTTCTTTACCTCCTTTGTGGCTACCTCTGCCGCGGTAGCTAAATCTTCTGCCTCTGCCAAAGTCAGGTCTCGCCTTGCCAGTAGTTGACGTTGAACTGTCTGGTTTCGCACTCCGCAAACAATGCGATCCCGCAGCATGCGGTCCAAGCTGTCTCCGAAATTGCAATTTTCCGCAATTTTCCTCAGTTCCACGATGAAGTCTCGTACCGACTCGCCTTCCCGCTGTTGCCGATTGAAAAACTTGTAGCTTTCAGCTATTTCGTTAGCCTTGGGCGCGTAGTGTCGACCCAGGATGCCGACAACTTCCTTGTACGTCAGTTCGTTGACCCTTCGAGGCGCGCATATTCCGCACAGTATTCCAATCGGCCTGGAGCCGAGCGCGGCTACCAACAGTGCGCGCTTCCTCTTATCTTCGGTAATAGCATTTCCTTCAAAGTAGGCTTCAACTCGAACAACATAAGTTTCCCACTTATCTTCTGCGTCGTGGAAGAAGGGAACTTGAAACGCCGTGGCCGCAGTTGCCATTCTTGGGCTGTCCTTGCTTGTCGTGCCCGTTGAGTGAGTTCAGCTCGTCGCCACTGTTGCGTCTTAGCTGCCATCCGCCGTTCGGCCAGGCGCGACGCGAGTATGACACGCTCCGGTGGTAGCCAGTATGGGACAACGCCCCCTTTATTGCTTCGAACACAGATATATAGAGAACGCCACGACTAGTGACGTCAACAGGGAAACTGTTATCGGCTTGATAACAGCAAATAGATAGGATGTAAACAATGACAATGCAACATTTCCTGTTGACGACTAGTGACGTCAACAGGGAAACTGCTATCGGCTTGATAACAGCGAATAGATAGGATGTAAACAATGACAATGCAACCCCCGTTTCACCCCTTTTCACCCCGTTTCAAAGAGAAAAAAAAAAGGTGCCAAAAGGGCCACAAGGAAAAATCTGTGCCTTGTGAAACCGGTGTAGTTTACGACATACCGATGACTTGTGGTTTTAGGTACACGGGGCAGACCTCAAGATGCTTGAACGATCGTCTGACTGAGCACAAAAGAAATGTAAATATAAAGCGACTAATTCCGAAATTGCGACACATGTACAAGAATCCAGAAACTGCTCGGCAAGTGGTCCGGTACAAGAAGTCAACGACGTGAAAAGGGTTGTAAAAGAGACAGTGAAAATTAGGTCGATCGGCAACTGCATAAGCCAGGCGTCTATGCTTTTTAGTGATATGGCGAAAGCTTTTCTGCGAATATGATTTGAACAGGTCTTGTGTTTTTCGCGAGAGGTACCTCCTTTGTCATGTACTTGTTCCGGATGTATGCGTACGTAGAAAGAAAAAAAAAGTGTAACAGGTTGATGGGTTCGTACTGCAGTCGGTTCCGTGTGGTTCGCTTGTTCGTTTGTTGTAAAGTTAAGAGTGGCTGCGAGGTCGAGAATGTCCCCTTCGGCCGATGTTTTGTTGTGTGTTTACCGTTTGTTAACTCAAAGTGGTTCGTGACTTTTTTTAAGAACTTTGTGGCTGCGAAGTCAAGGCGTGTCCCATTGGTACCATTGTTTGGAATGTTTTTTGGTGGCGGTGTTGGGTCAGGATGTATAAAAGGAGGGAGAACTGAATAAAGTGGTTAGCTGTGTTTGAGACGTCGTCGTGTTCCTTCCACCCAGTCTCAGGTGGTAAAAAATGGTAAAGTTCATTCGATGCATTGCGGCAGCGGCGGTGTAACGATACTGGATTGTGACATTGGTTTATTTAGATGGCAGTCGATATAATGACAACGATGGCTGCGTGACGATAGCGACTTTTAGCAAACCGCCAAAGCTCGGTTACACTCGATGTTCAGCGTAGCAAACGTGGCGTAGCTCAACCTACACGGATTGCTTGCAAATATAGAGTTCTCGCTCTCCGGCCAATGAAAGACGAGCGTTCTGCGCTACGTTGCGTTCGCTGCGCTTGACGTCGGAGTGTAGCAGAGCCTTTACCGTGTTCTGCGTACCGCAATATCGGAGCCTTTAAAGAATGTTTTTAAGCGTTCGCCCCGCGGTCATGGTGTCATTCGGGCGCGCGCTTTGAAGCATGGTTCAAAGGCTCTGGTCCTGCGTTACACTGAACACGGTAACAGTCCCCACCGTTAGAAAGGCTATTCCGGTCGTTTACTGTTCGTGAACCAAAGGAATACATAAAGCAGTTATAATATCTACTCAATGTGTTGTACTACATATTTCGCTGCGAGCTTTGCAAGATGAGCCCTGGTTGTAGAGATAACAGGCGCTGCATGCGACTACTCTAAGACAATCGCATTCCAAAAAAAAAAAAAAACGTTTTTTTTTAGAAGGGGGGGGGGGGGGTTAGTGGAGTGCGTTTTTGCTAGAAACCTGCAGCTTTCAAGCTATATGGCCTAAAACGTTATGAAGGGTTATAAAACACCGAATTTTACTACATGATTTCCCGTTAAACTTTGTAAGATCGCCCTGGTTGTTTATGGACGAGGCGCTGAATGTGGCAACTTCCAAAGAATCATGTTCCAAAAGAGCGAACCCTCGAGTATTTCCGGGACGTGCGTCTCCACGAAGAGCCTGCAGCGTGCAACCTGTATAGGTAAAAATATTTAATCATGCACTCAACGAGTTCTACTACATGATTTCCCTAGAACTCTGCGAGATACCCCTTGGTTGTTCAGATAAGAAGCCCCTAATGTGGCTACTTCAAGAATCACGTTCCAAAAGAGAATACCTACGAGTTTGTTGGGGGAGCGCGCTTCCGTCAGGAACCTTCAACGAACAAGCTACATGGCTTAAAATTATTTGAACATCTACTCAAACACTTTTACTACATGATTCTCCAAACACTTCGTGAGATTCACCCTGGTGTTTGAAATAAGAGGCGCTTAATGTAGCTACTTTGAAAAAATCATGTTCCAATAGAGCAAACCTTCCAGTATTTGGGGGAAGTGCGCCTCCACCACGAGTCAGTAGCGGGCAACTAATGTGGCTTATATGGCGACATAAGCGTTGAGATAAAAGCCAGCGAATTGTTTTTTTTTTTTGTTTTATTTTTTTAGATCCTGTGCAGAAAAAGGAAATCGCGAGTTTTTTTAACCATGTACTTTTCGAACGGAAAGCAGCCTGAAGCCGTACGTATTTATATTATGTTTACTTCAATGTAAATTAAATAAAACGAAAAGGAAGACCCAAGACTCAACGTGTCAAACCTGTATTGGCAAATCCGTCGTCTTGCAGCGATGCGAAGACAAGGAGTCGGAGTGGGGCGATGATCAGAATGCAGGATGCTTCCATAGCAATCCAAACGGATTAAAATAACTTGAATGTACAGTCGCCAGTGATATAAAAAAGACAGACCAAGCGTGTAAACTAAAGAGTATAAAGCGTTTTTTTTTCTTTTTTCCTGAAAATGATTGTTTTATGTACGCTTATAACCATTTTGTTGCGAAAGCTTTTTTTTTTTCTGGAGCGGCGTGAAGAAACGTTTTGTGTAAGCATTCTCGACGTTGACTGTGCTACGGTGGCAGTTTGCGTTCGGCGATTTCTTCGTAGTTTCCCTGTGACCGCGAGCTGTCGGGATCGAAGTGTACAAAAAAAGGCATCATCCTAAACGGAGTGACATCGAGCACCCTAGTCGGTCCAGTTGTGGTGGGCGTTGATTAATATATATATATATTCCTGTGAAATTATCACCATCTGTCACCGGGTAGAAAACGTCTGACGTTTGATACACCGCGTCAGATGAAAAACAGAAAGGCCTTAACATATGAAGGACGGAACTGCTGACGAATCGTGGAACGTGTAGGAAAGCTTAAGATTCCATTGCCACGCATATTCAGCGTGGTCGGATTCAAAAAATCCGTCAGCCATTCTGTGGTACACGTGTGCGATGCTGATTTCAATTCACCGCCAAACATTATAAGCTTGCATTTTGCCATGTGATTCATGTGAGGCTGTCATTTGCTGAAGCCATCTTTTTTTAAGAACGCGACATCTTGATTAGCTGGTGCCATGGCGGATTGGGGTAAATTTACGAAGTATGTGACTTCCTGATGGTCTGGCGTCCGGTC